GGATGAAAGAGCTGGCCGCCAAAAAAGGGGCCCAGACCTCTGGCGGTCTGGGAGACACGCTGCGGGAAAAACACGACGACGTCGGGCGTCTGGGGGCACGGCCCTTTCCCTGGCACGGGATGAAAAAGCTGGCCGCCAGAAAAGGGGCCCAGACCTCTGGCGGTCTGGGAGACACGCTGCGGGAAAAACGCGACGACGTCGGGCGTCTGGGGGCACGGCCCTTTCCCTGGCACGGGGCCTTCACCAGGAGCAGCTGTTGGACGGCCCCCCAGGGCCTGGCCAGGCGGCCGCGGGCCCCCAGAGGCCGACAATGGCGAAGGCCATCCGCCGCGATCCCTTCACGGCGCGAGGGGGTGGCAGATCCCATGCTCCCGCGCATGCCTCCTCGCCCTCCTTGCTCCTCCCCTGGGATTGACTACCTACCAGACCACCCCAACCCAACCCGAAGACCCGAATTTCGGGTTGGGGGGGGTACGGTTTCCATACGTGTTTTTTCGATGTTCCCCGACCCCCCCCCAACTGGAAATGGAGGGCAAATTGAGGCCTTCGGGTTGGGTTGGGGTGGTTTGGTGGGTGGTGAGGGATCCGACGCCGCGAACCAACTGCAGCATCGCGAACAATCAGGACCGGAGCTCGCTGCAACACCTGTCGAGCCGGATCGATCTGTAAATTGCCCCGGGGCACGTGACACGCCCGTGCTGGGGTCGCCGCCGCGTCGACGCGACACGAACGTACCAAACCACTGATCCTGCATGATCAGTCGTGCTTAGATAACCTGGCTGTGCATCTCCTGACGCGGAACGCTCGGCCCAGATCACCTCGGGCAATGAAAAAATTATGAAGAAATGTTTTTTTGCTATTTTCAGCTCCTGGGGGCCCTTATATTGGCCCTCGGGACCGTCGAAAAACGACTCCGGATGAAAAACCGGTCCGGTGGAGTGGGCCGAGACCTCCATGGGCCGACGTTATGAAAAAATCATGACGTCGGGGGTCTGAGGGGGGGGGCCCTGTGGGGACGGGGAAGCATCGGGTTGCAATCGGCGACGCATCGCCGATGGATCGGCGATGTGGGCCCGCGATGGCGACTCTCCGCACCCTCCCCGGGCGGGGCGGGGGAGCGGGCCCCGCCCCGGGCGACGAGTGGACGATTTGGGGTGCCGATGCGTGCCCCCGCTGAGCCCATCCCCCCTCGCGTGAACCCTGTCGTTCTCCTCCTTGCTGCACGTCTTCGTCGGCGGCGGGGCAGAGACGGTCCGCTCCAGCGACTGGCGATTCGGGGCAACCGAATGGCCAATTGGCCGGCATGCAAGAGAGGGCAAAAGGACTGTGGGGCAGCAGCGGGCAGGCTCCCCCTTCCTGAAGTCGGCCCTTTGCCGAGGAGTCGCGGTGAGGATGCGAGGGGGCCATTGCAGGGCCATATGATGTCGACACTCCGCGAGGGGGGCGGGGCCAGTGAAAGCGGCCTAGGGTGGGCCGAAGGATGGGCCGACGGATGGGTCAAGGATGGGCCAGTGAAAGCGGCCAAGGATGGGCCGAAGGAATGTCGCTCATCATTACTGTGCGGGTTGACTGTGCAGTGGAGGCCCGACCACAAGAAGCCTTCCACGAGAGACCCCACCCTGAGACCCCAGGACGCCCATCGATTTTCTGGTGTGGGAACGCCAAGCTTCCCATAGCAGAACCATCGAAACCCAAGAAACCCAGGGCACCCTGGAGGCAAGCAGGGTGTTTCTTGGCAAGGGTATCCACTGTAGAGGAGGAGGAGGAGGAGGAGGAGGAGGAGGAGGAAGAGGAGGAGGAAGAGAAGAAGGAGGAGGAGGAGGGGGAGGGGGAGGAGGAGGAGGACGAAGGGAGGAGGAGGAGGAGGAGGAGGAGGAGGAGGAGGAGAGGAGGAGGAGGAGGAGGAGGAGGATGAGCAGGAGGAGGACTTGGCATGGGTATCCACTGTGCTCCCCCTACCCGGCGCGGCCAGGCTGGAGCGCACGGGGCAGCCCGCCGCGGGGAAGGCTGCGGCGGCGGGGCGGCGGCACAGCGCCTCGAAAAGCTCGTCCGGGAAGACGGCGCGGACCTCGACGTCCTTCGGCGGGGGGCGACGTGCGAGGTTGAGCGCAATAAAAAAAGAGGAGAGAGGGGGGAGGGGTGGATTGAGGAGTCGAGGGAGGGGGGAGGGCAGAGTGGGCATGAGGGGAAAAGGGGGGAGGGCCAGCGAGAGGGAGGAGGGAAGGAGAGGGGGCAGAGGGAGAAGGAAGGGGGATGAGGCGGAGGATGAGGAGACGAAGAGGGGGAGAGGCAAGAGAAGGAAGAGGAGGGATGGTAAGGACATGGACGAGAGGGACAGAGGGAGGAGGGCGGCGGAGAAATGACCATACTTCCGCATCGTCCTCATCATTATTGCCCTCTCCTTCCTCACTCCTCCCTGCTCTTCTCTGCAACCTCTTCTTCCTCCTCCTCCTCCTCCTCCTTCACCTCCTCCTCTGCCTCGCTCCCTCCCTCCTCCTCCTCCTCCTCCTCCTCCTCCTCCTCCTGCTCCTTCTCCCCTCCTACTTCCCACGTGCCTCTTTCTCCCTCCTACGTACCCTCCTCCTCCTCTCCTCCTCCTCCTCCTCCTCCTCCTCCTCCACCTCTCTTTTTCTTATTCCTCCTCCTCCTCCTCCTCCTCCTCCTCTACCTCCTCGGCCTCACTCATTCTCAATTTCCTGTCAAGCTCTAAGTGCTGCCCAAGAGAGCCCAAGGAGGACCTCCAGGAGGGCGCAAATAAACACACATCGTTGTTTGTTGGTTGGTTGTGTTGTTTGCGGACATACTCGTTTTTGCTATCTTCGGGGCGTCTAAGGACAACCCAAGAGGCCCCCAACATCGCCTCAAGACGGCCACAAGGGCCCTCAGGAGGGCCGCCAAACGGCCCCGAGAAGGAATGAAGAGGAGGAGGAGGAGGAGGAGGAGGAGGAGGAGGAGGAGGAGGAGGAGGAGTTGGAAGAGGAGTTGTAAGAGGAGGAGGAGGAGGAGGAGGAGGAGGAGGAGGAGGAGGAGGAGAAGGGAGGAGGAGACGGAGGAGGAGGAGGGAGGAGGATGAGGACCCCCGAAGGGCCCCCAAAGGCACCCGAGACTGAACCCCCACGACTTGCCGCAGCCGCGATGTCGTGCCGTCCCTCGGGCCGCTGGCGCGTCGGCATCGTCCCCCCGCCCCTTGTCGTGATCGCCGCCGGGCCCGGCCCTTGCCACGGGTGGACTCGGCCGCCCGAAGCGAAGGGGGGGGGGGGGTCGGGAGGCCCGGCCCCCCGCAGATCGGGGGCGTCCCAGAAGCGGGTGTCCAGGACGGGGGGGGGGTGCAGATTCTGGCCCCGAGGCACGTGCGCGGACCGGGGGGGGGCCAAGGAACGCGTCGAAAGAAGCAAAGGGCCTATGAACTCTGGGGAGATACCGTGGCCCCCCCCTTGTCATCACCCCCCTCTTGGCCGCCCCCGATCAAACCCGTCCCAGGGGGGTGCGCTCCGGGCAGGCCGAACTCCCAGGCGGGCCCCGGCCGTGGCGACGGAGGGGCGTCCCGCGGGGCCAGCAAGGGCAGGAAGCAGCCGCGACGGGCCTCCGCCAGCTCGAGGGTCGATCGATCCTCGAGCCTCCGTCTTTTCCCCGCTCCTCGATAACTCCTCGATCCTCGCCGAGGAGCTACCGAGGATCGGCATCGACGATAAAAAGGAGGAGCTCGATATCGAAAAGTTATCGATATCAGCAGCTTCCCGATCCTCGACAGATCCTCGACATCGAGGATCTGTCGAGGATCGATCGACGACAGATCCTCGACCGATCCTCGATCGATCGAACCTCGACCGTGCCAGCGGGTCGCGCGGGTGTCGCGCGGCGCGCGCGCGCGCGTTGGGGAAGGGGGATGGCCTGGTCGGCGGACGGCTCGTCGATAAAGGACTGAACTTTGGCCATCAGCTCCTCGGGAGAGCCCCCCGCGTCGCTGCCCAGCAGGCAGAGGGGGCAGGATGCGGAGGGGGGGGGGGGGGCAGAAGGCAGAGGGGGGGGGGAGGGGGGGCGGCGGGGCAGAGGGAGAAGGAGAGAGAAGGGGCGAGAGGGAACGGGAAAAGGGAAGGGGAGCGGCAGCAGCGGGAGCAGCAGGATAGGGAGCGGAGGGAGAGGATGGAGAGGAGGATGCCAGGGAGAGCCGATCAGGAATCGAAGGAGGAGGAGGAGGAGGAGGAGGAGGAGGGGGAGGAGGAGGAGAAACAGGAGGTGGAGGGGGAGGTGGAGGATGAAAAGGAGGAACGAGCGCGTCCGCTTTGGGAGGGAGGAGGGGACAACGGAGAAGGATGCTCGGAGAGGCACAGGAGGACGAGGAGAGTACTGAGGGCACTGATGACACGCCCTGTCCGCAGGGCCCGCTGCGTAGGCGAGCGCCTCGACCAACGCGGGAGCACACAAGCTGGGCCACTGCCCAGGGAACAAAAGGGAAATGCCTCTACGGCGACGAGAGACCAGCGGAAGACACTCAACGGCAACGCCCTCGAGCCGTGCCAGCCGTGGCAAGAGAAACGTCGCGCCAGGCAAGCCATCCAACCTGCAGCCTCAGAGCGGAGCGTCAAGCCCCAGCACTCTGACCACCTTCCGCAGCGCAGCGAAGATCGCGAATGATCTGCTCCAGGGACACGCCAGTGGCGCCCGGGAAATCGAGAGCAGGACGCCTCCGCGCCAGGGCCGATATAGCTGGGCCGTGGTGGTGTCAAATCAGGGAGGTGCGTAGAGCCAGCAGATGCTCAGTGGCCATTGCGCTTGCTCTTGCCTGTGCCCTTGCCCTTTGTCAGAGGACCTCGGGCGGCCAGGAACTTCTCCGTGGGCGCTGTTTACCTCACTCCGCTCGCCTGAAACCCTCGTCGGTGACGCCATCCACCCACCATATCATGAAATCGCTCTGTTCCAGTTCCAGCAGCGAGGTCTCCGCACCACGGGTTGGACCTCCGCCGAAAGGTTCTCCACCCTGCTGTCCAGGGAAGTGTCCGCCGCGCTCTGGTCCACCCCCAAGGACGCTCTCCCTCTCCAAGACCAGGTCGAGATTAGCATCCGTCTCCCCGTTCTGCTCTATCTGCTCGCGCATGACGCCCCCACTCCACGGCCAGTAGCTCGGTCGCGGCGCAGACGCACGCTTGGGCTGCACTTCGTGGGAGCAGCTCGACCCTGATGGGCCCGCCGATGGGCTCCCCACAGCCTGCGAAACCTGTCCTCCTTGTCAGCCTTCAAGGCCATGGCGAAGCTTGCATCCAGATCCTCCTTCTGCTTCTTAGTAGTTGTAGTAGTAGTAGTAGTAGTAGTAGTAGTAGTAGTAGTAGTAGTAGTAGTAGTAGTAGTAGTAGTAGTAGAAGTAGTAGTAGTAGTCGTAGTAGTAGTAGTAGTAGTAGTAGTAGTAGTAGTAGTGGTAGTAGTAGTAGTAGTCGCCGTAATATTAGTAGTAGCAGTAGTAGTCGTCGTCGTCGTCGTAGTAGTAGTAGTAGTAGTAGTAGAGTAGTAGTAGCAGTAGTAGTAGTAGTAGTAGTAGTAGTAGTAGTAGTAGTAGTAGTAGTAGTAGTAGTAGTATGAGTAGGAGTAGT